ATATACATGTATATATATATATAAAATTCTCTAATAAGATATATATATTAACAAAATAACATACAAAAATAAATTACTTATCTAAAATAATAAATAATATACTGTCAATCTTTGCATCCTCTAATCTTACATCCTCAGTTATTTTTTATGAAAAGCTTTGGAAAGAGGGCTGAATATTTATAAATGCTTCTTGTATATTCCTAATTTTTCATTACATGCCATTGCATTAAAATATTGTATAGAATTATGTTATTGTAGATATGAAAAGGGATCATTGTAAAAATGTTTGATTTGATTAAGATAATAATTATCTTTCTGTTTTATCCTAATTGTAATCATTAATATATGCACTTATAAATTTATAGAAGTAAAATTTAAAATCGAGGAGAAAGGATCAAACAAATAATTTTTGAAGGCTTGAGAATTACATGCTATTTATTCTAGATATTAACAGTCATAACTTATATTATTTACTTTCAGTTAATAGGATTTACACAAACACACTATTTGATTGTTTGTTGACTGTATTTTTTTTTCAAAAAGCTGTAATTTTCAAGACTTCGTTACATACTTGCTGAGATGTCTATAGTATTGTAGGATTTTGTCTCATATAAAATGTAGCTAAGAAATAAATAACATAATTTAAATTATTCATTCGCTTAACTACTACTATACTATTTCCATCTTTTGACTTGCTTAACTATATACTTCAATAACAAGTGTTCATTGTAAGCAACATTATTACTCCGTAATGCACTTTACAATCTATGAAATGTAGGAAATGATTTTTTGTACAGTCCCGTTTCTTGACAAGACTGAAAGTTTTCACTTTTCTGGAAGTATACTGTAGTAAATTTGTTTTTATCACTATTACACACTTTGGAAGTTTACTTGTCCGTCAAAGATAGCTCCAGCACATGACGAAACGTTTCTTCTTCTAGCAACCGTTGTTGCTCTTCTTCTATTTGTTGCTGCTCGGAAAGTTTTAACGCTAATCTCAATTGTTCTGCAGTATCTTCGAGAGAATCGCTATCTTCATTTTCATTTATACCCGCTGAATTTGCAGTACCTTCTGTAGAGCCAGCCGTTTCTTGATACAGCACTAAACTAGCCTGAATTGCCCTATGTTCAAAAAGAATTATTTTTAGCGATATGAAAAATATTACGATAAATTTAGATTGACATTTATTTTGTTAGTACTTTCTACGGATTTTTTGTGCTTTGTAAATATTCAACGTTTATATTAATTTAAATATGAGTAATTTCTGCTGCGTGAATAAAATTTACCCGAAATTGATATTTGCAATAAAATTACCCACCTGCCTGAACATGAATTGTAGCACAAAAACACATGCAAAATTAATAATAAAATTAACTGAAAACAGAACATCGATAACATTCTCTTTAGTATGTGTTTATTGCATACCTCTGAAGTTGCCTTTCTTCTTCAGTGGTCATGTTAGGTGTAGTTGGTCTAGATGGTTTCTGCGCTCTTAATGCTTCCCATATATCAACCTATGTAAAATAATATTTTTCGTGTAAAACAGGAAGAACATACGATATTTGTATATAATTACAAAACAAAATATAAAGAAAAACAATACCTCATCGCGTTCACTACCAGCTTCTAAAAGACTTTGTTGAATAGCAAACTGTAGTAAATCATCCTCTTCTTCAATACTAAATTGTGTTCTAACTTCTGCACCTATATTCAACCAATGTGAATTAAATACATTATATATATTAAGTGTAAAATATATGCATATATATATATATATATATATATATATATATATATAAAAAAATTTAAAAAATAAAAAAATATCTTTTTTAAAAAAAAAAAAAAAA